AACTAGGTGCGTTCCTCGAAGTCCTCCAAACAATATGACCATGTTGCGAAAACAAGGTCAAACAAGGTCAAATAACTTGTGATATTTCCTTCTATTTGTTACTTTGATTTTTCAGAATTAGCAAGTTATTACTTCCTCGCCCAAGTCTCACTCATAGTACCTCTAACCAGAACTTGTCTTAGCCACTTGTCTTATAAACACCACAGTCTGGTGGCATAGAGAAATTGACATTATTTTACACGTCTTTAGATTGCTCCTTTTTCAGCATATACCAGCATACACTCTCACTTTTGAGAAGCTCCCAATGTCAAGCTAACCGTTAATCTCCTCCTTGCCCGACAAAGTTATACTTTCAATCACGACGACACGGAGCAGCATTTAAAGGATCCAGACATGCATCACGAGGCTATCCGAAAAAGTGGGAACAATAAATTCTGCCAAATTGAGAACAGATCATCTGCTTTAGTGAATACTAACCGTCCACACGTCAATTTTTGATTGATCAAAGTGCCCCCGAAGCGTAGCAATCGCGGTGGCTGACATCGTTGAGCTGGAGGAAGCACTGGAAGCGGAAATTGTGGCATCTTTTCGTGACAACCAAATCAACCGATGCAACGATTGGACGACCAGCTCGCCCAGAGTCAACTCTTGCGCCTCTCGTTTCACCACAGTCAGCTCCTCCAATTCATCATCTACAACCTCGTACGTCTCCATAAGGCTCGATTGTCTGCTTGTAGCCCATTGGGTTTTTCGACAACCAGCCAAACTGCCAACAGAATGCTCAACTTTATCAGCACATTCGTACAGCCTGGGAGATTTCGTCTGCCGCAAAGTCTGAACAGAAACCATGGTTTGTTGGCGCCCAATTATCTGGTAGCCATCAGCATCGACAGTCAACTCTTCACCTCGATCGTTCTCGCCCATTTGCGCGTCTTCACTTGCGACTGGGCGATTGAAGTGATTGCCGTCAACCTTCGTCTCTTCCGGTTCCACCCTTCGTGAGGATACAGGCGAAAACTGTCCCGGCGTCGAGGTCAACGATACAGAAGTTTGATTGCGTTGCGTCCGGCTGTCAGAATCATGCCCGACCACAGGGGACTCACACTTTAGCTGGTTGCGGGAAAAAGAAATACAGTTCTGTATCAAAAGGAGGGTAGCAATGCTGAAGTGCATTTATAGAAAATAAAATGGGTCATAAGCGCATAACATGCAATTATGAATTGAATGGGGTTCCGGTAAGACAAGATGTCAAGACAACATTTTTGTTTTTATAAGAAGATTTTCGAGACATATTTATTAAAAGGAACAATAAGTAGTGTAGTCGAGTGCTGTAGCAAATGCAACTTTGCTTCATCGGCAATCCCACTACAGAATTTGACATGGGAAAATGTCTGATCTTCCTTGAAATTCACGTCTGTCCTGGCAATGTGATGTAGTGGTTACCGTGTCCAGATTGCACGCTGCAGTGCTACGGCCCGAGTCCCGCTTGGGGTGCGAATGAGATCGGTTCAGGCGAGGTCGAAACTGTGAGAATACATTTTCGAAAGGCAAGGCCACGTGAAATTGAATAGAACCGTAAGGTCTACTCATTTTGTTTGTAGAAAAATTCAACGACCAATCCACTTATCACCTTTAAGGTGAAGACCGTAGAGGCGAACAGATCATACCATATTCATGGTGAGCCTATTCCGAGACTTGCTCAGCAACCTTAGTCAACCTTGATCGAACTTATTTGGGAGATCACTCTGTAAGGCTGTACAACATGGAGCTTTGCTCAGCATAGACTGCTTAAGGTGATGCAAGACTAATGGAAAATTTGCAAAGGATCAGATTTCATAATCCTGCCTCCTAAAAGGTAATCTCAACCCGTTTGGACTAGGCTACAATTTCGACTTCACTTCGGCCTTATCAGCATCCCCAGCGGAAATCGGATACATGAAAAATATATTTTTCCTTTTCGAGACTAAGCTTCCGATACTACCAGCATATACGATATATGATATGTGTCCACCCTATTTCACTTAGGCTAATGAAGAACTGGTAGTTGAATGTTCCCACACTCAAATAAGTAGACCGTAGGTTTCCATGAAATTTCACATTGTCTTGTTTCCCAAAAGGTATTCTCAGCCAGGCTTAATTGGACTGTAGATTCGATCTCGCCTGGACAGGTCTCATCAGCCCCCAAGCATGCTGGAGCCATGACGGTGCAGTTTGCAATCTCAACACATTAAACACTACGCCACATTACCATGAGTTTCTTTGGGTCATAGAGTATATGTGAATTTTTAGGAAGGCCAGACATTTTTATATATCACATTTTTTGGTGGGATTGTCGATTAAGCACATTTTTATTTGCTACAGTAATTTATTGCATCACGTATTTTTCGTTTGTAAGAATGTTTTCGAGACACCTATAAAATAAGATATATAAGAGGTCTAAACTTCACACCACTTTGTGTGATAATAATTTTTAAGAAGCAAGGCTATGTGATATTCATTGGAAACGTAAGGCCTACTCACATGATGAAAGTGAAATTCAAATACTTGTTCTTTACCACCTCAAACGAAATAGGGTGAACCCATTAACAATGTAAAATATAATTGAAGATATGAAGACCAAGATGTTGTGGCCTCTG